TTTTGACAACAAGATATTTTCCCCTCCAGCAATTTAAAACTCCTCAAAGATGCCCAATAGAGCTGAACATTCCTGCTGTTTCTAACGCTTAGCAACCAGGAGCCAAGCGGCCCCCACTAAATGTGTGTAAGTGTGTGTGGTGGCGCTTTTCACTCATTCCTTCATGCCTGTTTTGAAAAGGCTTCCTTGTCCTCAAATTAACATGCGGGCTAAGTGGACACGCACTGGTCTGCACTGCAGACGAAGGGCAGTGGGCAAGAGCCAGCTCTGTCTTGTGGTGACCAAAACTCTACTAATCCCATGTTATCTTCTCATGCAAAGGTAAGTTGTTTCTATTTGTAAGCCGGCCGAGGCAGAGGGAGAAGCAGACTCCCCGCTGAGCAGGGAGCCCGATGCAGGGCTCAATCCCAGGACCCCGGGATCAGGACCTGAGCCAAAGGCAGACGCTTCACCGACTGAGCCACCCAGGTGCCCCAATAAGTATTCTTTAAATGAATGAAAAAGCAAATCTTATATCCCTAAATAGTTCATAAGCTCCTGAGTAAGCTGCGTCTTCTGATGATGCTACCCCTGAGGCCTGGCTTGGTCACCCCACAGTGAATCGGGAGACTTGGGGTGATGTGTGTGGAAGAGCCAAGAAAAGGACTGGAGTCATGCTCACACATCAGTGGTTCCTTACCACGAGTTTCCAAGGACTTTGGACCTTGGACACCTGGTGACCCAAAGAGTCAAAAGGGGAGGAAAATCCCTTGAGCTGATGCAGAGATGTGAGTGGAAAGGACCGTGGACACCCCCTGTGTGCTTTCTTTCACCTCATTCACTGGTGGGCTGGGAGAACGCGTCCCTAGTCCCACTGTGTCTCCCCCTAAGTGAAGTTGCGCCCTCTCTTTGGTCTTGTCTTGGACCACAGATTTTTTATCATCCTTCCAGTTGGTATTACAAAGCAGTGTCTTATGGTGACATGTATTCTCTTAAAAAGAATATTTAAGGGCGCCTGGGTGGCTCAGTTGGTTAAGCGACTGCCTTCGGCTCAGGTCATGATCCTGGAGTCCCGGGATCGAGTCCCGCATGGGGCTCCCTGCTCGGCGAGGAGCCTGCTTCTCCCTCTGACCCTCCCCCCTCTCATGTACTCCCTCTCTCTCATTCTCTCTCTCTCAAATAAATAAATAAAATCTTTAAAAAAAAAAAAAGAGTTTAAAAAAAAAAAGAATATTTAAAACAACAAAGGGGGATAAATCTTCCTCTTACATGGGGATTTAAAAATAAGATCCTCCCAGCGGATGTGAAAAGGAGAAGAGCTGGAGGGAGACACGGTTAAGAAACTCGCAGTGACCTCAAGAGGCAAAATGATTTGGAATTTGATAACGTAGACCTGGGGTCAGCAGACTTTTTCTAGAAAGAGCCAGATAGCAAATATTTTAGGCTTTGTGGACCAAGAGGCAAAAAAACAAGGAAATTGTGTAGCTACCTCTATATAACAAGAGAGAAAATAAAATTTCACTTATTTTTATTGACAAAATTTAAAGTATAATTGAGCACTTGCTCTTTTTTGGTATTCCTGGTCTGCTTAGGAGAAGAATGGAATTCTTTTTCTTTGGGAGAACATTTTGCATAACTGGAGTTCAAGGTTTACTGTTCCCCATCACCAAATCAATTGCAAATGTTCATCTGTAAAAACCATTCTCATCTTGCAGGCTATGAACAAAAACAGTGGGCTGGGATCGGCCCGCAGGCCATGGTTTGCTGACTCTGGACTAGGTCAAGAGGGGGCAGAGAGCCACTGACTCCCTGTGTGCCCTGTTCAGCAGCGCCTGGCGCGTCGTAAAGGCTGGGGTACCATCGGTGTTAGGAGGATACACGGGGCTTTTCTCCATCCTCTGCACTCTAGCCCGCGTTGTAAATAACCAGAGGTTGTGTTGTCTTTTCTCATACAGATGGTGATGCTCCTGACCCACCATCAGTTGTGTCTCCAGGAGTGGGGAGGATTTGGGCCGGTCCATTGCTAGTCAGCCCTGCTACAGCTGATATGACTTCTGACCCAGCTGCCCAGTTACGTGCAGTGGTCATAACTTCCATGGAGTGGGGCTCCACCAAAATGTGTTGATTAGTTCACAGCAGGTTGATCCTATTAATTTGTTCTCTGCCCCATGCAGAATTACTATTAAGCAACTGAGCTAATATTTGTCTTCCTGGACGTGTGTGTGCACATTAATATATTTACAAAAATATATATATACAAACAGATCACATTTTCCTCCAGGAGTTTTTATCATTGAAAATATTTTAAAAAGCAGTGGAAGTAAAAACACTGCACTAGGAGAGAGGACGTTCAATGTTGAAGCTTCATTTAAAATCTTAATGGCTGTCCTAAAATATTGTGACATGTATATAATTCAAATTTCAATGGGTGTTATCTTTAAATTAGAAATGTTTTAACAAATATAGAAAGCCTAGCCTTTCTCAGATTACTGAGACGGGGGAGGCAGTAACTGTGGTATGTTTACCGCAAGTAAATATTTACCCAGGAAATAGGGACTGTATGTCATTAAAGATACTGTTAGAGAGATGATTCCTGACCTCCAGAATTCCTGACCAAGGCGAGGGGACTCTCTCCACAAGAAAACTGCCCTAGTGTCTATTACTCTTTAATACTCAAATAATTTCCAGAGGGAGACCAGATTGGCTAACAATAAAAAATGGGGGGCGCCTGGGTGGCTCAGTTGGTTAAGCGACTGCCTTC